AACCGGGTGGCAGCGATTGGTCACAAAATAAAGTTTATTTCCTTTTAAGGCTTCGAGTATTTTTGCACAATAGTTAGTGATTTAGAGCATATTTTTGTTCTTTTTTTGCGTATTTGCTATAGCGGCGATAGCAGGAAGCGATAGCACCCCCATATCCTCTAAAGCTCCTTTCAGAAGGTCACTCATCGCACAATGACTTCTGCTTCATCGTGTAATACTTAGAAGGTCTTAAAATGTTTTCTTTTTTAGAATAAACAAATGCAAATTGCCACGGAATGTCACTAAAATCAATAGAACAGAATGTTCTACACGGTGTTTCTCCATAAAAATTTGCAGGGTTCTTTTTTAGCAAGAATAAACTGCTCGACGCAGAACGATCCGAGCAAAGTTAGCGCTAGTGGTCCGAGCCTTAAATGGTGAGGAGAAATTTCTCCTCGGCCATGCCGTTTCCCTTGCAAAAGTTATCTTTTCCCTCGCTTCGACTGGGTCGCGCGTGACACATGACCGTTACCTTCCTATAATACCGTGTGATTCGGTGGTCTGCTATAAACCGACGCTATCATTGAACGAGGCGTGGCGGTAGCTCCGTTGCTCACGGCCTTGCCGTAGGCTTTTTGAAGCGCAGCTCTTCGTAGATGCGCTTTTAAGGAAGAACAGCCAAAGAAAGAAAATTCTGTCGTCGATCATTGGGGACGAAATGTGGCGTAAGGAGTGATTGGGGTGAAACGTGCTCGCTGTGGGTCTTGTTGTTTTTGTTTCGAAACGTGCTGACATATAAAGTGTTTTCGATCATTCAAAGTCGTTATCGGCGTCCCAAACGCAAGCTCGAAAGAACAAAACAATTGTGGCGGCGCCCATCGACGCCGGTCGTCCACTACATTTCGTGATGGACGCCGCCGCAAAGTAGTCAAAAATAGGGGGTTACCAGATTGGTAGTAGAAATCCATGGAAATGTGAAATTGTGCACGAAATTAATAGGTTATGCCAACTTTGCGGTCATACGGGATACAAAAGTTCGACGCAGAATTCGAAAAATGCAGAAAGGATTCTAGGCTAGGTGGCGGAAGCTACCGCCCAATATAAGGGGTCACAGCCGCCAGCATCCATCCATTTACATAGCTACCGCCGGCAACTCTGTCGCCTATGGTTTGAACACTCCACCGTCCACGCACCGTCCCGAGTTCGACTCCTTATATTCATACCATTGTACTGTGGCTGAAGATCCGAAACGACATTTTTCTCGATCACGCAAATCTATAGAAAAACAGCAGTACAAAAAAAAAACCTTGAAACAAAACATTTATCGCACATTTAGTGCATCTCATTGCAATGCTCCTGCCACCAGATTTCTTCAACGCCACTCTCTTCAGTTCCGCTTCGACATTGTGTTTCTTTACAAGGATGCGCATCCTTAATTGTTCGCAGAAACAATGTGACAACCTTTTTGTGTACGTTGTGGCATGTTGGGAAGACATTGGCAGTAAACAACAAGCTCAATATTTTTTTTCTTTTAGAGGTGGGAGGCTCTTTTCGTTGCTCAGAAGGTCGCATTCATTTTTTCTGTAATACGCTTCTGCGAGTTCTGCAACACTTCTGCGGAGGGATTGACCAGAACAATTTTGTTCTTGTAGCTTTTAAGCTGCATCAGTCTGAAAGCATCGCCTTCGTCAGTCTTTGTAGTGTGAGAGTCTTAGCACGCTAAACTCTAGGTAATGCATTGAACAACACACCCAGCAAAGTATGTTAATGATTCCTGCTCTGGAACCTCAACATCAAGCATGTCATCAGAAGCGAAAACAGAATTCTGTTCGCCATGTTGGCGCTTGCCATGGGACATCCCGGCAAGCATGAAGCAATCAGCATCAGTGTAACTTACATCCATGCTGGATCGTAAAAGCATTGACAAAATGGCAAATTTAAGGGGAAAAAAAAAATTCCAGTCGCTTGGGAATAGGATGTCTTGACCTCAGGGTTGAGAATAAGTTCTCGAGAGCATCCGTGTTGAACCGACTCAAGAAAAAAAAAAAAGCAAAGTCCAACTCCTCCAAAAACAGCTTCTGCACTTCTAACATTACTTTTGTCGCCGTAACGATCCAGATCTGAACTGGCTTCCAACTGTACATTGCATCACTTCCAATATGAATTTTCACAGAAGGGTCAATGAAATCCTCAAGAAACGAAACGTTCACCTCGTATTGATTCTCATTGAAATGACTAATGACAGGCTTTGATGTCCTAGATGACTGTCACGGAGGTGGGAAAAATCGTCAATAAATGAAAACAATAGTCCACTCCGAAGCCAACAAAAATTACTTTAAAAAAAAAAGAACAAAATGCTAGGTTGGACTGATGGCAGGCGATAGGTCCACGCCCGGTGCAATGTCAGGTAAGGAGGCGACGACACGTAGATGGTCAAAAACCAAACACAAATTTAATCAGACTTAACACCAAGCAATCGGTGGAGCGCGGCGACGAAGTAGACACAACATAGAAATCACTTAGTGAACTATCCAAAAACCCTCGGGAGTACATGCACTAACATCCCGGTTAGTAACGCTAAAAAAGTTCCCGAACAACCCTCGATGAGGCACACTTAAAATTGATCGAACGCGTTGGCCCTAGCCAATCACAACATAAAATAAAAGTCTTATCTGTAGTCCAGACGCTGCCGAAGCCTGTCTTGGAGTCCCTGGTCGATGAAGAGGAATCGTCACGGAGCCCTGAATCTTCACACTGCTTGCAGGGACGACCCGACGCATTACATGCGCGCGCACACGCACCGCAGTACAAACACGCCCGAAAGCTAAAATAAAGCTGAGGCCCACAGGCAAACTAGGGTCACAGCCCTACGTACAGAAAATACAATCGCGACTCAAAAACCAAGGCAATGGCGAGCGGAGTCCCGGCCAGCTCCGGGCACTCCTAACCCCAAAGACGAACCACACCCTTTGTCCCGCAAGTCCTCGTCTTTATATTGAGACCAGCAGCATTTTTAGGGCTCGTAATCTGACCAATTAGCAATGAGCTTCTTAGCGCCCATCACCGCTCTTTGTTTTAGCAAAGCAACTAAAAAAAAAAATGAAAGCCGCTTACAACTCCCTGTAACGCCGAATTAGAGCGCAGCTCTTGAGGAGGAGGAGGGAAGGGCACTGGGGGGGGGGGGGGTTAAACTAACCAGGGGGGGTCACGTTACCTTGGGGGTCACGTGACCCCCAATGCCGATGATGTCATCACTGACGTCACTGATGACGTCATCAGTGACGATGACGATGCGGGTACCGATGACGTCATTAGTGACGTCACTGATGACTTCACCAGTGATGATGACGATGACGATGCGAATGTCGGTGACGTCATCAGTGACGTCGCTGATGACGTCATCAGTGATGATGACGATGACGATGCGGATGCCGGTGACGACATCAGTGACGTCACTGATGACGTCATCAGTGATGATGACGATGACAATGCGGATGTCGGTGACGTCATCAGTGATGATGACGATGACGATGTTGATGCCGGTGACGTCATCAGTGATGATGACGATGACGATGTGGATGCCGGTGACGTCATCAGTGATGATGACGATGACGATGTGGATGCCGGTGACGTCATCAGTGATGATGACGATGACGATGCGGATGCCGGTGACGTCATCAGTGATGATGACGATGACGATGTGGATGCCGGTGACGTCATCAGTGATGATGACGATGACGATGTGGATGCCGGTGACGTCATCAGTGATGATGACGATGACGATGCGGATGCCGGTGACGTCATCAGTGATGACGATGACGATGTGGATGCCGGTGACGTCATCAGTGATGATGACGATGACGATGTGGATGCCGGTGACGTCATCAGTGATGATGACGATGACGATGTGGATGCCGGTGACGTCATCAGTGACGATGACGTCATCGGGGGGTCACGCGACATCGGCGGGGGTCACGTGACCTCGAGGAGGGGGCCACGTGAATTCGGGGGGTCACGTGACCCCCCACGAGGTCACGTGACCTTGGTGGGGGGCTCGCGCGGTGCATTATGGGACATTTCCCATGATGCACCGCGCGGTTACGCCGACGCCGACGCCGACGCCGACGGCGATGGCGACGCCGACGCCGACGGCGACGCCGCTCAAGCCGGAAACGGGCCCCTAAGAGCTGCGCTCTAAAATACAAAAGTACAGTACCTAGAAACAATCCGCGAGAGACTTTGCCCGTCTGCGCGGCGGTGAACGCAATTCAAGATGCCTGGCAAATAAACTAAAAATACGAAAGTACAGTAGCGAGAAACAATCCGCGAAAGAGTTGGCCCGTCTGCGCGGCGATGAACGCAATTCGATATGCCTGGTTGTGAGCACTGTCTTCGGTCGACAAGCAAAATTAAAATAAAAAAATACAACAAACCAATGCTCTCGGTCGGCTTCGACTTTCGAGGAATGGAGGCACTATCCGACGCTCCCATATCCTCTCTCACCAGGGGAGAGGGTTCTTCCGCCCGGTTTCATAAACAGCCGCATGGGAACGGACGAGACCGAAAGTTGACACCATGCATCTTGCACCGTTGGCGCGCCCGAGAGCTCCCACAAAAACCTTACAAGAAAACCCCGCGATTCGTGACACGACTCCCCACTTTAAAAATATTCACTCGTGAATATTTTCACAATAACAAAGAACGAATCGCAAGAACACGTCTTTAAACTCACAATGGGACACTCTGTTCACATCAAATTCAAGAAAATGCGCAAGCAGCATCTTCAAAGAACTCCACTATGGCATGAAAACGACGCAATCACTCTTGTTATGGGCAACAATCTTAACATATTCAACGATACACGACATAGGCAAATTGTGCTTAGGTGCCATTTCTGCAGTCAAAATGCACACAAAATCAACTAAATGTACCCAAGATCAAATAAAATACAAATGTGACGAAAACACCCTGCTCACACGCAGGACAGCTTTAAAATACAAGTTCAAACTATTTCTCACTGTTTACATACGACTCAAATAGTCCGCCCCCACATTTTCACTTTCCTTGATATACTGAACTTTAAAATCATACTCTTGGAGCTTCAGACTCCAGCGCATTACCCGGGCGTTAGCGTGCCGGGTTTGTTTGATGTACTGGAGAGGTTCGTGGTCTGTCTGGAGCACGAATGTTCTCCCGTAGAGGTAGGGCTTAAATTTATCGATGCGCCACACTACGGCTAATCCCTCTCATTCAACAGTTGCGTAGTCTTCCTCTCTTGGGAGAAGTTTCCGGCTGGCGTACGCTATGGGGTGTAGCGTGTCATCATATTCCTGCAGCAGGATTGCGCCAATGCTGTAATCGGACGCATCCGTTCGTAGCACGAACTCCCTCTCGAAGTTGGGTAGCTTCCGAATGGGGGCCTCCGTAAGGCTCTTCTTCAGCTGGTCGAAGGCTCGCTCGTGTTCCGGTGTCCACTTCATGGTGTTCGACCCTCCCTTTTTGGTCAGGTTAGAGAGGGGCGCCGAGATCTCTGCGTATCCAGAGATAAAATCTCGGCAGTAGCCCGTGAGGCCTAAGAACGCTCGCACCTGACGCTTTGTCTCGGGCCGTTTTGCGTCCCGGATTTTTTCGATGGTTTTCGGAAGGGGGGCCACTACTCCGCGGCCGATCTGATGTCCTTGATGTCCTAGAAAAGACACTTTCTCTAGGCCAATCTCGCATTTGGTGGGCCTCACAGTCAACCCCGATATGCCAATTCTGTCAAACACCTGCCGTAGAGTGCTCAGGTGTTGTTCCCAGTTGTCAGTAGCGATCAGTACGTCGTCGTTGTAGAAACTAACGCCCGGTATGTCTCCCAACAGGAGCCGCATAAGGCGCGTGAACACTGCCGGCGCCGTCTTCAGTCCGACCGGCATGTACTTGAACTGGTACAGGCCACTGGCCGTGGAAAAGGCAGTCTTTGTTCTTGATTCATCTGTCAAGGGGATCTGCCAATACCCCTTGCTGAGGTCGAGCTTAGAGAAGCACCGTTTCGTCCCGACCTCTGCGAACAAGAGGTCTGCTCGCGGCATGGGTTCTGAGTCGGCGGCCAGCACGTCGTTCAATCGCCGGAAGTCGACGCAGAGGCGGTGAGTCTGATCGGGCTTTTTGACCACCAACACAGGGGAATTGTATGCGGAGTCTGTCCGCTCGATAATTCCCATCTGTAACATGCTTCGTATTTCGTCTTCGATGCTGTCGCGCACTGCAAATGGTAACGGATATTGCTTCGTGTGTACCGGCGTGTCCGTTTCCAACTTCAAGTGACACTTGATAAGGTCGGTTCGTCCTGGAACGTCGGAGAAGATGGCCCTGTACCCTTGAACCAAGGCCTCGGCCTCTTTTCGGCACCCCGATCCGAGCCCAGGTGCGAACACGACATCGCTCGCAGTTTCGGTGCTCTGCAATCTCAGCATGGGGAAACCGCCCTCTCCTTCGGACTCCTCCAATGCGACAACCGTACAAGCCGCAGGAACCTCGTCAGGTGCTCGTTCTTCATACTTTTTAAGCATGTTGCCGTGGAATACTTTTATGAAATGCCCCAGGTCCACTTCGTAGTCTAGGGGGCCTTTCTGTACGACTACAGGGTATAGTCCTTTCCATTGCATCAGCAACTTGTTCTGGTCTGGTCGGTGGGGAGCAAGATTAGAACTAAATCGCCAACACCGATGTGCCTGTGACGGGCCTTCCGATCGAAGCAACGACGGTAGCGTTCGCTGGCCCGCTCAAGTTCCTCGTGGGCAATCTTACAGGTGTCCTCGAGCTCGTTGCGTAGCTCGAAGACATACTCATACGTTGTCTTGGTCTCCTCCTCCAGCGCCTCATTCGTCCACAATTCTTTACGTACAGAGAGGGGACCTCGTACGTTCCTTCCGTAGAGCAGCTCAAAAGGGGAAAATCCCAGGCTGGCCTGAGGAACTTCTCGGTACGCAAACAGCAGCGGTGCCAAGTAGCGATCCTAGTCTGCTGGCTTTTCTTGATACGTCCGCTTCAGCATGGTCTTGAGCGTTCCGTTGAATTTCTCTACGAGGCCGTATCCCATTGGGTGGTAAGGCGTCGTGAACAGTTGTCTCATGGAGAGCAGCCGTCCCACCTCTTTCATGACGTCCGACGTAAAGTTGGAACCGCAGTCACTGAGCACATCTCGGGGAACCCCAGTTCTAATGAACATCTCCACGAGTGCCTCGGCTACTCGCTCGGTGGAGATATTGGGCAACGCCACAGCACCTGGATACCGCGTCGCGTAATCGACCATCGTTAAAATATACTTGTTTCCCCTCTCGGTGGTCGGTGAAATGGTGCCCACGATGTCGACGGCCACGCGTTGAAAGGGCGTCTCGATGAGCGGCATACTCCCCAGGGGCATCTTGGGGACTTTTCCTTTCGGCGTCGTGCGCTGGCAGCGGTCGCAGGACTTCACGAAGCGCTTCACGTCTGCTCCGACGCCAGGCCAGAAGAATTCTTCGAGCACTCGGTTTATTGTCTTCTGAGCACCCTGGCGACCCGCCAGAATCCCATCGTGCGCCATTTTAAGGATGGTTGTCCTGAACTTCTTAGGCACCACCAACTGGTGAACTTCTCTTCCGGCTGACGTTCTGTAGGACCGGAACAGGATTCCGTTTCTCACCATAAACACGCAGGAGTGTTTCCGCTTCTTGCCCGTCAAAGTTTTCCCGACGTTTTGGAAACACGACCTCAGGCTCAAGTCGTTTTGTTGTTCACTCATCAAAGTCTCTGGTGTAACTGCTCCCTCCTGAACCTCCAATACTCTCAACGGTGTAGGCACCGTGGTCTTGTGTTCAGCCGTCTTCTTTTGGAGTCTTGTTTCAACCGCCGCCGTCACGGTCGGTTCTCCGTTCCGTACGTCGGTCTCGGGCCTGCTTTCTTCCGCTGCTGGTTCAGCGTCCCATTCGGGATCGGGATCTGCCGCTGCTCGAACGCCCGGCATGTTGCCTAGTATTATATCATACAGAGGACTTTCCATGCAGAGAGCCGTCACCTCCCCACTGAAGAATGGAGACCGCACCAGCAGCCTCGCCTCCGGCAGCATCTTAACGGTGCCATCAGCAAGGTAGACCGCCTTGGAAAATCCCGTGAGCTCCTCTTCCGAGATGAGATTCTTCCGAACGACTACCGTGTTGCAGCCGGTGTCGCGTAGGACGGTGACACTGCGTGTGCCTACCCTGCCGGTTCGCACGGGTACTCCATTCGTCCAATTCGTTTCCTCCTCCTCTATCGTGGAGTTTACCACAGGGAGACGGTCACCGTTCTTGAGTTCCACGTATCCGTCCTGGACGACCACTTCTTTCTTCTTGGTGGGCTCGGCAGCCACACAACAGGAAGCTTGAGAACGCCCTTTTGATCCTTCTTGACAGGAGTTGGCCGCGTGGCCGTTTGTCCGCAACTCCAACAAGATGCCTTAGTTATGACTTTATCCCGGCAATCGGCGGCACGGTGTCCAAGCCGGTTACAGAGAAAACACCGCAGTGGTGGCCGCTGTCCTGTACTTTTCTTGTCGACGGGCCATTGGGGTTCGGGAGTCGGCTTCTTTTCCTCCACCTTCATCCCAAGCGACTGCGTTCCTTGCGCCTCCAGGTATCGGTCGGCCAAGTCTGCCATCTCTGCCAGTGTTTTGGTTGTTCGCTCTTTGATGAAGAGGGCCAGCTTTGGCGAGCAGTTCTTGAGGAATTCCTCGGCTAGGAATTCCTCTTTGGCGAGCTTTGGCGAACAACCCTCGATAAGGCACACTTAAAATTGATCGAACACGTTGGCCCTAGCCAATCACAACATAAAATAAAAGTCTTATCTGTAGTCCAGACGCTGCCGAAGCCTGTCTTGGAGTCCGTGGTCGATGAAGAGGAGTCGTCACGGAGCCCGGAATCTTCACGCTGCTTGCAGGGACGACCCGTCGCATTACACGCGCGCGCACACGCACCGCAGTGCAAACACGCCCGAAAGCTAAAATAAAGCTCAGGCCCACAGGCAAACTAGGGTCACAGCCCTACGTACAGAAAATACAATGGCAACTCAAAAACCAAGGCAATGACGAGCGGAGTCCCGGCCAGCTCCGGGCACTCCTAACCCCAAAGACGAACCACACCCATTTTCCGGCCAGTCCACGTCTTTATAGTGAGACTAGCAGCATTTTCAGGGCTCGTAATCTGACCAATCAGCAATGAGCTTCTTAGCGCCTATCACCGCTCTTTGTTTTAGCAAAGCAACTAAAAATACAAAAGTACAGTACCGAGAAACAATCCGCGAGAGAATTTGCCCGTCTGCGCGGCGGTGAACGCAATTCAAGATGCCTGGCAAAGCAACTAAAAATACGAAAGTACAGTAGCGAGAAACAATCCGCGAAAGAGTTTGCCCGTCTGCGCGGCGGTGATCGCAATTCGAGATGCCCGGTTGTGAGCACTGTCTTCGGTCGACAAGCAAAATTAAAATAAGAAATACAACAAACCAATGCTCTCGGTCGGTTTCGACTTTCGAAGAATGGTGGCACCATCCGGCGCTCCCATATCCTCTCTCACCTGGGGAGAGGGTTCTTCCGCCCGGTTTCATAAACAGCCGCATGGGAACGGACAAGACCGAAAGTTGACATCATGCATCTTGCACCGCTGGCGCGCCCGAGAGCTCCCACACAAAGCTGACAAGAAAACCCCGCGATTCGTCACAATGACATCCACTTAAATCACCTAGAGATGGATTTTGCAAACCATGCTGTAGGTAGGACATCCTTGCCAATTTTGTTGAGTTCAACCAGCCTCTGCAGCGCAGCAGCAGTGTCATTGTTTAACAAGCTGAAGGGATACCCCACTTTGATCTCCTCATAGTGTCTTGGGTGCACACATGCTGGTTTTAAGTAGGCTGCCAGTATGAGCTCCGAACAGGCAGTTTCGTCACAAGATATGCTGGCAGCTTTATCTCCTGCCCTCGCGTCAGATGATTGCGCATATTCTTGGGCAATTGGAGCACATCTGGCATAAAAAAAGCTTCGGGCTCGGGTCACATGGGTAAACACATTAAGTCTTTGGCCGGCTATGCTTTTCAACAACAATTTCAAATGACTTCCAAATAGTTTGATTACCTCCCCCATGTCTGTTGCCAAAACATGCACACTGATGCCGTATTTTTCGCATTTTTTAACAATGTCTTCAATTAACCGCTTCACACTGACTGCATGAAAATAATTTCCGGCCACATGATACGCTACAACCTGCTTCTAGCGTGTGCTACCGCCGCCAAGCATGACCACAAGTGCATGGGTTGCATCGTACCTGGCAGCTAGTGTCCCCTCAGCTAGAGCAGTTGCCAAGGCTTTAAATGACCCTCCATTGGACGCATCATGGAAACGCCAGCGCTGAGCTGACTATCCTGAAGCATCAAAGTTGCATGTCGTTCTTTTGGTTCCACTGCTACGACCTGCAAAAGAATATGAACGTGGATGTTACGGCACTCAACCTGAAGTCGCCCATCTCAACCACGCAAAGAAATAACGATGACTTGTTACAAGTGATGTCGAATATCTTACCTTTAAATCAAATGCTGGCATCAAATCGGCAAGGATACCCGGAGTGAACTGGTAACCCTGCAGATGAAGTTGCAAGGTCCGTTCTGCTGGTTAGGCGTTGTCCAATCTCCCTTACTAGACTGACGCCCTTGGTTCCACATGCCAATTTCAGACGCGGGACTTTCTTTCAAGTCTCTACACTTCATGGCGTGCCTCTCACTGAATTTTTCTTGAGGCTTTCTATCCAGTCGGTGTTCAAAAACTTGTCCAGTTCACACGTTGAGCTCATAATTTGAAGAAACACCTGATTATTTTGTCGGTGAGCATGTGAGAACTACTGTTCTTTTTCCTGAAATTGCAGCTCGAACTCCAATATTCACCCCTGAGTACTGCTTCCACAGGTGGTGCAATTGGCGCTTCTGTGTGCTCGATTCTCTCGATCGTGTGTGCTGGCTTGTCCGAGGAAGCAGCTGCAAGCATGTGCTTTAGATTACGAATTTGAAAAATACAAACCTACCTCCTCACAATGACAGAAACCTTCTAAGAGGCCCACATAACGACTCGGGGTCTTGTATCCCAGCTATACATGTTCTGTCCTGTCCGAGGCAGTAGCTGCAAACATAACGTGTAGGGCTAGAAACCTTGATGAATTAAAGTGAAACCAGGTCACTGAACTTGCACGATTTGTAGAAAAAATATTCTAAGTATGTCTTATCCACAGCAACCCAAGCTATGCATACTATATGCTACAAAGCCTACGCTCTAAGTTTTAATAAAATAAACGCAACACAACAGCTCATAAAAAATCAAAGAGGGTCTTACCATGAGAGGTTTTCTTTGTCATATTTTAGGGGGTTTCCTCTCCTATGGAAGAGGTCGGCGTGAAAAAATGAAAGGAGCTGCAAATGCCTTGAGTTTCTTGAGGCCAGTCTTTTCCAAGATCACTGGCTCAAACTGATCGTTCGTGAAGGGATCTTAAAAAAATAATGCAGCATCGTATATTTTTGTTGTCATTTGTAATGCACCTATTGCGGAAACATGTTGCGCAACAAAAGCGCGAGCTGCTTGATTCTTGGTGACTTACCTTTCACGGACGCAATATGCTTCTGGTAACACTACAACCCTCTTTATTTTTGGTGGTACCCCAGTCTGTCACGAATCGTTCTCAACTCGGCCGACTCAAGGCAAGAGAGCTAACAGCGAGCGAGTCAGTTTCCATTATATAATACGCGCGAAAAGACGAGCAAAAGTTCTTCGTGCACTAATTTAGTTCCCTGTTTGTCTCGTTTCATGATCGTATTACGCGATTTTCATTGGCGAGACCGAAAGAGACAGGTAATACGATTCAGAGTTTTACAGTGATTTACCTAGGAAAGTCTCCATCGGAGGCAGTCAAAACTTTTCCGACCGATCCGGTTGAGCAAATGTCTTTGTCACCTGAAGGTTTTCTTTTCCCTTCGAGACAGCAAAAATCTTCTTCCCTTTCGCAGTGCTGTTTGTGTAATCCACAGCGCAGCATCATAGTGCCGCGTTGCCGCCAAAGTCGTAAAAAAAAGGAAAGCCTCTTACAACTCTCTGTAACACCAAATTAGAGCGCAGCCTTTGAGGAGAAGGAGGTAAGTGTACTGAAGGAAGGGTATATCCTTCCTCCCTTCTCCTCACCTCCTCATCCTGCCTACTACCCCTCCCTCCAAGCGGCGTCGCCGTAACCGTGAGGTCACGTGTCCCTCGCGACGTCGCGTGACCCCCGTGACGTCACGTACCCTCATGGAGGTCACGTGACGTCACCGGGATCACGTGACCTCACGGGGGTATATAAGAACATATAATATATATAATAAGATATACATGAACATATGAGAATTAAAAAAGAAATTTGTGAGAAGCTTCTTATATCTTCTTATATATCTTATATAGTTCTTATATATGTATTATATGTTCTTGTGAGGTCACAACCCCCAGACTCGAGTGATGCCGAGTCTTCAAATAAACTTCGTTCAAGATACTAGAAAGTCTTAGTAGAGCATACGCTAAGGATTGCGAGCCTTGCGGGTGCGTGCTCAATCCATGCTCAAAGCGACGGCGCGATCTCCCGCTAGCTGCGCAGTCCTTTCCTACGAAACATTATTTACACTCATAGAGAGGTGTATTATAATGTGTCCCGACTCTCAGATCTTCCTGCAATAAACGGGTAAACGCAATATATATTTTACAGTGCATTCGGATGTACCAAAATACTCAAAACTAAATTGGCATTTTCTTTTCTTTCGTTTTCATCTGCTTTCAGCCAAATTGACAAAGCTCGTCTTACGACCCGAGCGATTCCAACTCTGCTCGCGTTATTCCATTTGCCGATCGAGACATCTTCCCGTGCTTTACAACCCAAATAGAGGTACCCAAACGCTAGTTTTTTCACGTTAAAAAAAAAAAAACTGTCTTCATTTTTCGAAAAAATATTATCTAGTTCGCAGTATGCAATAGCAGACAAGTACGGCCCGCCATGCAGGCGCGCGCCCAAGCGCGTCTTGTGCGCCTCGCACAAACATGGCGGCGGGGGGAGTGGCACGGAAGGAGGGCAAGGAGGAAAACACGGGGAGAGGAGGCACTGCGCTACCTTTTCTTATTTAGGGACCTTAGAACCAGATACGAAAGTTTAAGATTGAACAGATATCTTATTCAAAAGTTAATGAGTGATATTCTGAAAATTTCAATGGAAAAATGGGGCCCATTTCCGCCCGTTTTCAGTTTCTGGCGAAATAAAGCCGAAATAAAGCTCCATGTACTCGAGAGCTCCGTCGGCCGCCATTTTCCAATTAAGATTTTCAAAAAATCACCTATGACTTGAATAAGGTATCGGTTTGGGCTGAAACTTTGCCGTCTGGTTCGGACCTCTAGCGCTTCCTTAGGGTGCAGAATGAACGTTCGGCGATGCGTAGAATATTTTGCAGTAAAAAATACCCCCGTAATTTTTTTGAAAGAACACCCTGTATACATGAGTCCTGTGTTTTCATGCGTTGACTCATAAAACGGATGCTGCAACAACATCATTCGAGCGACAAGGAGCACCGGATCAAGCCGAAAGGCCTGATCCCATCACTGATCTCTATTGCAGGAGGCTGGATTGCGCATAGCCGCTCTCCGACCAGGGCGCAAGTGAAGCCACCGGAAGTTTGATGCTTGTTCCGGAAGTCGGGCCTCTGTTGGGCTTCCTAGTGCATTCAGTCAATGTTTTGGTTCGTGCTTTCCGGTGTCTTTGAGTGGATTTTACTAATCATGCTCCTAATTAAATTCCGAAAATGAGGCATTTGAACTTCGGACATATGCACACTTGATCATCTAGAATCTCAAAATGTTTAAATTGAATGGCTTCCCATGATACTTCTCGGGTCTGCATGAGGTCTTACTATAACGCAACAAGTAGGTTCTCCCAACTTTATTTAAACAGGCAAATAAAGTAAAATCGTTCAGGTAAAGTCGGCGAACTCCGAATGCATAATGCAGGTGGGAAGTGCGCTGACCGGGTTTCCACAGGCCGGGTGGGAGAATTTTCTAGCTGATAGGGGTCGCCCGAGTCGCAAAATGGAGGTGAACAAAGAGGTATGTTTGCAAAAGTTTTCGCTAGAATTAGCGGGAAAAGTTTCTCGCTAGATTGAGCGGGGAATTTTTTTCCGCTAGATTGAGTGGGGAAATTTTTCCGCTAGATTTAGCGGGGAAATTTTTACTGCTAGATTTAGCGGGTAGATTTTCCGCTAAATTTAGCGCGGAAAATCGCTTTGCTGCGTTATAAATGTAAAAAAAAAAAAAGAAACAGCCGCATGTAACCTTTGAATTATTGCTTCTCTCGGGATTGCCGTGGGGTTGTACACTCTAAGAAAAAATGGCTACCCTGAGTCGTCAAATGACGCTTTGGAGGCTTTGACTACCCCAAAAGGCGAGTTACTAGACTTTGGGCAAAGTGACGACCCAAAACTGCTGTGGAACGACAAGCTTTCTGCAGGTGACGAAAGGAGGGTAGTCACTTTCGAATCCGATATTCACGTGCAGGAAGTCGTTAACGATATTAGTAACTAGATAACTACAGTAAGACTATAAATTGTATTCTTCCTTAGCTTTAGTGATCCTTTAAGATCCGCCAAGGTCGCATCTGTCGTGCAATTCGCGTAAATTGGTGGAATAAACGTTTTGTCAGCGCGAGTATCCACACTGGTTTCGACAGCTGAGGACTGTGGTATGATGTATTAGCTGTGGCATTATAACAACAACAAAGGACGTGGTTATTTGCTGAACTCAGGTGAGGACATCTTTTTGCCGTATTTTATGGCAAAGAACATTAAAAAAAAAAAGATTAGATTATATCTGCTCGTGTTGAACCATTGAACACTGAGACCGAGGATCGGCAGGGTAAGGCCTTATTCACACAGCCGGCGTTTCGCCCCGTCCCGGCGAAAGCGCCGTGGGCGCCGTGCCGAAACCGGGACGGTGCGGGGACGGAGGAGTGTTCGAACCAGCGGCGACGTAGCTGCCGGCGGTGGCTATAGCAATAAATGGATGCTGGCGGCTGTGTCCCTTTATATTGGGCAATAGCTTGCGCCACCTAGCTTAGAAATCTTTCTCCACCTTTGAAATTCCGCGTCGAGCGTTTGTATTCTGTAAAACTGTAGAGCCGGTATAACCTATTATTTGTGCGCAATTTCACACTTCTCTCGATCTCTACTACCAATCTTGTAATCCCGCATTTGCGGCTGCTTTGTGGCGGCGTCGACCACCAAATGTAGCGGATTATCGGCGTCGATGGGCGCAGCCGCAACTGTTTTGTTCCTTGAATCATGCGTTTGGGTCGCCGATAACGATCTTGCATGTTTCGAAAGCTTTATTTTATTTGTCTCCACGTTCCGAAACAAAAGCGACATGACCCACCGCGAGCACGTTTCACATCAATCACTCCTTACGCCGCATTTCGTCCCCGATGATCGACGACCGTATTTTCTTTCTTCGGCTGTTCTTCCTTAGAATCGCATTTACGTCTATCGCAAAGGGACCGATGTGGTCTCACCATTTCCAGCAGCAGCTCAGGGGTAAATTCAAATCTCTGTACGCCCGTTGTTCAAAAGCCGTAAACATCACACAATGCGTTTGTCGCGTCGTTGGCCTCCCTTCTTCCCGAAACGAGCCAAGGAGCTTTGTGGGCTTCGTCGTTAGGGCGGTTAAGGAACAGTACGGTCAATTCCCCCTGCCGCGGCTGTGCCAATGGTCACCCAGCTTTTGAGAATCCGCTAGATTCAGCGAAAG